GTTATTACAGAAAAGCTGGGGATTCAAATGGAGGGCTAACTGACTATAGGAATCCACAAGGAGGGGACATTTACAAATACAAGTGGGCAGCTGGGATCAAAGATGTCTGTCAGTGCGCCACCAGACTTCAGCCATTGGATTGGGGTTTGGGGTCAGGACTCCTTCCCTAGATGGTGGAATAAAAGAGCACGACTGGGCCTAGGCCCTGACAGGGCACTGGTAGGCAGGCAGGGTTTCTGACTGAGGGACTCAGCTACAGGACATGAGACAGAAGGCCAGAGAGCAGAAGTGGGGAATGAGGTACAGGCTCAGTGGAAACGAGATCAGACTCAGACCAGTGGCAAAGGGACACCTTGATGCTGAGTTCTAGTATGCAGGCCAGGGTTACTTCAATCCTTCCTGTCTTAGGACAGGGATAGCCTGCAGGTAGGAGGAAGATTACTCCAGCTATGGAGGGAGGAGAGGGCAGTGGGTAGGATCCAGAAAGAGCCCGACAAGCTTCAGTTCAAGCTGAGCTTTAGCCATTCTGACACTCTTCTTGCAGATTCTTAGATTCACTCTTAATTACATGCCCTTCTTTCCATCTTTTTCCCATGGCCTTTTAAGATCTGAGCTTAACAGAAAGCTCTCTGTGTAACCACAATGGTCACTTTAAATGGTTCCCACTTTGTCTTCTCCCTAATTGTCAGCATTTCACTGTGGAAAACCTTCTCCTTGTCCCTCTACTCCAAGTTGTCTTCCCTCCTGCCTGGTTCGAGGGCCCTCTATCACTCTTCCTGGGCAGTCTGGGCCCCCTCAGGAGTGATCCACCTTTATCCCCTGGCTTTAGCCTTTGCTTATCAGGGGGCAGGTGGAGAGGAAGGGCTGGAAAGAAGAGCTGGCCAGGGCCCACCAGCTCTGGGGAGCAGCGGGCTGCTCCAGCGCCCCCTCCCCACCTTGGCTATTCTACTCCAGGAGCTGATTAGAGGCCAAAGACTTCCCTTCCCCCATCCCAATTTCTTGTGTCATCTAGAATGAGAGAATGAGAGCCTCCTCTGACTGCTGGTATGCTACCACTTCTCCTTTGTGTGCAGCGGGTACTGTGTGGGTAAGTTATTGTTATATTGTGCTCCTGTGATAAATGGACCTTTGTGAGACACTTTTCGCCCTGTGTGCCGGGGGATAGGGAGGGAGTCTTGCCTGAGTGACTTCTCACAGAAAGCTCCAGAGGTGCTCAGAGCTGATAGCCTAGGCCTGGCAGGCTGCTCTTTCATTGGCATTCAAAGTTGTCAATCACTGTGGCCCTGCCAATCAGCTCTGAACTAGGTATCTGTAAGCGATTAGCCTTCTTTGTTAAACAGAACACTGAACCCTCCAAGGACTAAACAAAGACTGGCTTAGAAAAGACAGTTCCTAGGTGGGCAGAGGCAGTCGTGCCAGTATCACTAACTGGAACTCTTTGGTTTCACTCTCCTTTCGGCTCTGTCTCTATTCCTTACATCTAGGGCCCCAGTCCTAGGTCCTTTCAATTCTACCTCTCTCATTTCCCTCCCGTGTGCATTTCTTCTCTCCGCCCCCACTGCTGCTGCCTTTGTTCAGCCCTCAACACCTCTCGCCTGGACTACTAACCAGTCTCCCAACCAGTCTCCCTGCCTCCAGTCTCACCCCCACCAGCCCAGTCTCCATGCTGCAGCCAAATCAATCTTCTAAAAATACAAGTCTGATCGTGCCACCTCCTGCTGAAAACCTTTCAACCTCTTCCCTGGCTCCTAGTGCCCTTGGGATAAAGTCCAAACTACTTAGCATGGCACCCAAGGCCCTTCATGATTTGGCTCCTGCCAAATTCTTGGCCTCATTTTTGGCAGTACTCCCACTTCACACCTAGTCATAATGAACTACTTTGCAGGTTTCTGAACATGCCATTCCTGACTTTGCTTCTGGGCCTTTACACGTAACATTCCCACTGTCTGGGGCATCCTTCACACACCACCTTCTCTGCTATCTGTCTAGCCAGTATCTACTCATCCCTTAAGACTTCAATCAAACTCCCTCAGCCCAAGACACATATTTCTCTTGTGTCTATGTCACTGATGCCTAGTACAGATATGGAACATAATAGATCCTCAATAGATGTTTGATGAATGAATGAATGAATGTCCCAACTCAAGTGGCTGTGTGCAAAATCACCTCTGAAGGAAACTGGCAGAATCGACTGGTCCCTCCCTCTATGGGAGGGAGACCTCTCCCTCATCCTTATTGCACTGGGTTGCAATTGCTTCTTTAACATGATTGGCTCCCTAATTCAACTATGAGCGTCTCAAGGCCAGGGCTATGTCTGATCCACCTCGGTATCCTACCTAGCCCCCAGCATAGTGCCTGAAACATAATGAATAAATAGGCCTTCCAAATGCCTGACAGTTTTGTCCCTTGACTCATCTCCCTCCACTCCCATTCCCACAAACTCTCACCATCGATAGAGCCAAGTGGTCACACTCATGGCTTCACAAACATACAGGGCTGCTTCCCATCTCTGAAACTTTTCACCTGCATCCCTCTTACCTGGAATGCCCCTCCTACCCACCCACCCAAATCCTGATACTTCTTTAGAAGCCAGCTCCAATTGTCCCTTTTCCAGAAACTTTCATGCACCCACTCTAGCCCATCTCTGAGTAGTGCTAACCATTCCTACCCATCTCATTTAAGCCTTGGCATCTCTTCATGTTGCTCAGGGGAAAAACAAAACTCAGAAAGGGAAAGGATTCTCTGAAGGGCACACAGTATGTTCAACGGTAGAACTATTACCTGAACCCAAGTCTCCAGTCAATGAATCTTCCCACTGGCCGATACACATCTTGCTTCCTCATATAGACTATAATTTCCTTTAAGGCAGTACTGTATCTTCCACCCCTTCATCTTTCCAGGGCCTTTCTGGAGTGTTAAGAGAGCTCTAGAGCCACACTGACTGGGCTTCTATCTTGGCTGCTCCAGTTACCTTAAGCAAGATTACCACACTAAATCTCAGCTTCCTCGTATGTAAATAAAGATAACAGTAGTACCTATCTCATAAGATTGTTGTGAAGATTAGATGAGTAATGCTTGTAAAGTACTCAGACAGAGCAGGACATAGCACATAGTAGGCGCTCGATAAGGGCTGTTTTCTTTGTTGTTATGATTCTTAATATGAACAAATCTTTGCTGGCAATGGTTGATTAAAAATTAGAATGTGAGTTACTCGGAGTGGAGGGTGGGGAGTGAGGAAAGAAAGTAGACCACAGGATCAGTCTGAGATTTGGTGGAGTCCAAACAAGGTTAGTGGCGCGGCAGGACGTTTGTACGTCCGAGTTCCTAGTGCCATGTGACTCTGTGAGGGCCCCAAGCACATGGTTCCATCCGGCAGCGCAGCTTCCCTAACTCTCCCCCAGCCATTCTCAGCAGCCTGTAGGGGGAGCCAGGAAGCTAGGACGGGGTGGGGGGGAGGTTGCTGGAAATATTCCTAAGGGCAAAAAAACGACACCCCACCAGTACTCCCCATCTTAGCCCACTGCCTTGCCACCTCCAGGACGCTCTCCAAGCTCCGTCCTTTTCCGCAGCTGAGCTGGGAGCTGTCCTTCAGCACCGGGGCCGCCTTGGTCTCGGGCAGGACAGTGAGGGCGACAGTGGAGTTAGGGACACGGGACTGGTCCGACCTGCAGGCGGCTCGAGCGTCTCCTAGTCACGGGGTCGGGGGAGGCAACCCAAAGAGGCAGCGAGACTAGCTACGGAGGAGATGCTTCCTGCCCCTTGCCTCCAAGAATCACCCTCAGAAGTCCCCTACCCTCGGGCGGGGGCAGTGAGGGACAGCCTTGGGGAGGGAGGCGGGCGCCCGGGTTGGTGGGGGAGGGGGAGCGCCGGGGCCTGGGACTCAGCGTGAGGCGTGTGCACGCGGGGAGCGGGCGGATGAACGGAGGCGCCGGAGTGAATGGAGTTGGGGGTGGACTGGAAACATCCCCAAACAGCACAGGCTGCGGCCGGCGGGGGCTGGGGTGGGGTGGGGTGGGGGGAGTCCTGAGGCGCAGGCGCAGTCGGGGCCCCAGTCCCGCTCCCTCCTCCTCCTCTCGGTGCCTTTCTCCGCCCCGCTCCCCCCAAACACACTCGCACACGGGCTCTCAAGGTGTTCTCCGCACAGCGGAAGATGGCGACAGACTGAGGGGGCATGGCCAGCGGGAGCCACGGGGCCGTGCCGCTCGGCGGCCGCCACAGCGGTGCGAACGAGAGGCGGAAGCGAGAGGCGCACTAAGTAAAGCCCGGTGTCCGCGTCCGGCGCCTGTGGCGCTGCCGGGAGCCAGGTGGCCCGCCCGAGCCGGAACTCCGGGAGCAGCGGGTGCGGAGCCCGAGCAGAGCCGGCCCGGGACCGGCCCCGGCGAACGGCCGGAGCGCGAGCGAAGCCCGAAGGGCCGGGCAGCGGACTGGCTGGCCGGCCTAGGAGGGCGCGAGCGAGGCAGGGAGCGGCGCGGAGCGGGCAGCGGGCGGACGGGCGGGAGAGGAGCGGCGCGGGGCGAGCGGAGCGGAGCGCGGCGGCGGGGCCCGCACGGCGGCGCTGAGGGGCGCAGAGCTGCGCCGACCCGAGACGGCCGGAGCAGAGTGCAAGCCGGGCGGCCGCCGGCGCGGAATGAAGTGGCGCGGAGCAGAGGGCATCTGAGGGGCCCGACAATATGAGGAGTGCGGCGCCGCCGCCGCAGCCGCCACCGCCCCAGTGCCCCGCACCGCCCCCCGCCGGGACGCCGGGCAGCGCCTAGCGGGCCGGGCGGCGGCGCCCAGGCTGAGAGCTAGGGAGCGCGGGAGCGGCGCGGGGACGGCACGAGAGCGCCCCGCGACTCCGGCCTGAGTGGGGCCCCGGGCCGGCCGGCCTGCCTTACCATGCAGCCCCCGAGGTAGAGCCTGGACGGCGCCGAAGAGCGCGGAGCGGCGCGCAGCCCGCCCGCCTGAGACGGCCGTCCGGCCTCGCGCCTGCCTACTCCCTCCAGCCCGGACCCCCCTGAAATATGTTCAGGGGCGCTTGGATGTGGCCCGGGAAAGACGCCGCCGCGCTGACTATCTGCTGCTGCTGCTGCTGCTGGGCTCCCAGGCCGAGCGACAAACCTTGCGCCGACTCCGAGCGGGCGCAGCGATGGCGACTGTCCCTGGCGTCCCTGCTCTTCTTCACCGTGCTGCTCGCTGACCATCTGTGGCTGTGCGCGGGGGCCCGGCCCCGGGCCAGGGAGCTGAGCAGCGCCATGCGGCCGCCCTGGGGGGCCGGCCGTGAGCGGCAGCCGGTGCCTCCTCGCGCGGTGCTGCCGCTGCCGCCGCCGTCGCCCGGCGAGCCCAGCGCGCCCCCGGGCACCTGCGGCGGGAGATACAGCAACCTGACCAAAGCCGCCCCCGCCGCCGGCTCCCGGCCGGTCTGCGGCGGCGTCCCAGAGCCCACGGGGCTGGACGCAGCTTGCACCAAATTGCAATCTTTGCAGAGACTTTTCGAACCGACTACCCCGGCCCCCCCTCTGAGGCCCCCTGACTCCCCTTCCCGTGCCCCGGCCGAGTTCCCCTCCGCCAAGAAAAACTTGCTCAAAGGCCACTTTCGGAACTTCACTCTCTCCTTTTGCGACACCTACACGGTCTGGGACTTGCTGCTGGGCATGGACCGCCCCGACAGCCTGGACTGCAGTCTGGACACCCTGCTGGGGGATCTGCTGGCCGTGGTGGCCAGCCCAGGTTCCGGGGCCTGGGAGGCGTGTAGCAACTGTATCGAGGCGTACCAGCGGCTGGACCGACATGCTCAGGAAAAATATGACGAGTTCGACCTCGTGCTGCATAAATACTTACAGGCAGAAGAGTACTCAATCCGGTCCTGCACGAAAGGCTGTAAGGTAGGGATTGGCGTCCGCGGCCGCAACGGCTGCCTGGGCAGTGGCAGCGGTGGCATTGGGACTGTGATGAGAAAACGAGGACTCCCTCTCTACCCATCCCACCACTCCTGCCGTTCCCAGTGCAGCACTACCAGTGCCACCCGAGGACCCTCCCTAGAGAAGGGGCCTCAGAGATTCAGGTCAGGTAACCACCTGGCCAACTTCTATTAATTCAGGATTTGAGCACCTTAGGGCTGAGGCTTCCTGGCGCCCCCCGCCGCATGAGGAGGGAGGGGCCGCAGAGGCCCTGGGCTGGCAAAGGGGTGGCAGGAGGGATTGTGCTCCCCCAGCCTCCACCCTCATCCAGCTGTGCCCCCTCCTTTCCTGGGCTGGAATTGAAAGTCCTGGGACTGGCTGGTGCAGCGGGAAGGCCAGAGGCAGGAGGAAGAATATTTGGCAACCTAATCCTCACTCTTTGGCTCCTGCCAATGGGTGAGAGGAGGGGTATTCCTGGTGGTGGGGCACATCACACTGTTGACCTTATGTGACCTGAGATGGCTGGCCAAAGCCGAGACAGGTGTAGTCCCATAGTGCCTGTCTTCTCCCAAGGAGGGAACTTGCAGGCTCCCGTCCCCTGACAAAGGAAGGAGCTGAGACCAGGGGACTGTGGCTGGTGGGAGGGCCACTCGATGTTGGTGCATTACAAAACTCCCAGTGCCTTCCCAGTGCCCCAAGGGTGGCAATGGAGGGAAAGCTGGCTTTCTGGCTCCTAGGGACAGAAGAGATGAGGCAGCTGCAGAATGGGCCCTGCCCAGGGAAAAGCCGAGTGTTGAGAAACTTCTTGACCCTCAGCAGGGTTGTTCTGGACAGTATGTGGGTGGGGGCTGCAAACATTTGGGACCTGATGCTACTGCCCTGCTTGCCCAGCCTGGCCAGGTGGCATGTCTTTGAGAGGAAAGAGAACAGCAAGGTCAAAGGGTCAAATGACAAGGAGACCAGGTGGTTTAGTGGCCTCACACATCCTGGGGCTGGGGCCAAGAGCTGGAAAGGGAGACAGTCGTCTCCTTGCCTAGCTCATCTCCCCCCAAGGCTTCGGGGAGGGGTGGAAAGTGCCCCTTTCCAGCCAGCACGGCCCCTGTGGACTTCTGCAAGGCTCCCGTGCTTTCCGTGCGCTCCATAGGGATTTGGGCAAGAGGATTAGGGAGGAAAGGGGCAGCTCCTTGCTCCTGACTCCACTTTCTCCTTCTCCTTTTTCCTGTTCTCGTAACCTAGCAGTCTCCCTCCCGCCTCCCTCAGCCTCAGCTGACTCACTGCCTCACTCACACTACCAAAGGAGATATTCCACTTCTTAAAGGTGTACAGACAGACACACACACACACACACACACACACACTGCCATGCACCACCACCGCCACCCCGGGCAAAGTCACACAGAGATATAGAGACGTCGTCACACACACGCACGTCTCCTCACAGTGTCAGAGACACACAGGCAGAAGTACTGTCACATGAAAAAGGACACATTCCCTCGATGTCAGCCACAGACACATACACTCAGTGGGAGCAGAGGGCTGTAATCCACAAGCAGATGGAATAAAGGATGTCTGTCTTTTGTTGCCCTCCCTCCAACCCCATACCCCCGACTAGTTGTTTCTCAGACACCAGTATGAATGAGAGCCACGTGGCAACTTTTCCATGGGGTTTTCTCCACGTTGCAGTTGGCTCCAAGCTCTGTCTGATCCTGCTCTAAATAATGATCTCTCGTGTTGATTGTTTTTACCATGCAGTCTGATGTAGGAGAAAGACATCTGATCTCTCCAATTCAGGAGGCTTTATCACCTCTACAACTTGTTAGTAGTATGACCTTGGCCAAGTCACTTCACTTCTCTAAGCTTTCATTTCCTTATTTGTAAAACAGGGATAATAATCCTTGCTCTTCCCACTTCCTGGGTCTTTTGTGAGACTTAAATGGGAAGAGGTAGCTGATAGTATTTTGTAAGAAGAATATAACATCTGACGTTGATGTAATGCTTAGGGTTTTCAACCCCTCTCATATGTGTTTTGAGATCAGGGAGCTTGGAATACTAGCACCATTACCTCCACTTTACAGATGAGGAAACTGAGGTGCAGGGGCATCGAGCAGTTTGCCCTAAGGTCACTCAGCTAATGAGCAGGAGTGCCAGGACTCCAACCTGCGTGTTTTGGTGCTAAGCCCATGCCTTTGCCATGGCTTCCCATCAAGTTCCCGATGGCCCTCCCTCCTCTCCTTTGTTTCCTTGTCTGTCTTTCTCCAGCGAGCAAGCGAACTCCTCCTGCTCTCTTGCTGCCTGCCGTGCTGGCAGAAGGGCAGTGCCATCGCCACAGCTTTCTTCCTGTCTTTGCCACCCCTGTTCCAGTGCTCTCTCCCTCAACTGAGGCCTGGACACGCAGGGCTCTCAAATCTAGCCGTATTGCGAACAATAAGGGAAGAAACAGCCCTGCTGCCCTCCCCGCAATTCCCTCTCTCCTCAGCCCCTCACCCCACCTCCCTCACAGGCCTTCTTTGCCGATCCCCTAGCCAGTTCCTAGGCTCCAAGTCCTCCTGTCCAGCCCCCACCCCAAATGAGATCCCTGGGAGATGCCCCACCCTCAGAGCTTCTCCTGAGAGGAGAGCCCACAGCCCCAGGCCAGGACGAGGAGGCTTCCTCTACTTCTGGAAGCCAGCCTGGAGCCTCTGACCCAGAGCTGGGTGACCCCCAGTCCCCAGGTCTCTGTCCTGAGTGCCTTAGATCCTTCCTGGGTGGCCCCAGAAACCCTGTTCTCTGCCTTTGCAATGTCTGCCCCTGTTTCAGGCCACATAGGGCCCCACGAATCATACCTGTCCTCACTGCTGCCTGTGACACCTGTGACACCTCCCGATTTAGTACCAGCTGCAACATTTCCTTAATGTGCGACTGACTTCCTCTCGCACAGCAGAGCGATGTTAACTTAGGCAGGCCAATGCCCATCCCCGCTCTGGCCTCTCCCAACTCCTGGGGTCATGTCCCACCCCTCTCTTATCTCCCTGTGCACCCCCAGGCCCCACTCCCTGCCTTGGCTCTCTTGGCCCTGCCTAGGGTTACTGGACAACCACCTCGCTCCCCCATGGCTCTCCAGCCTCCCGACCCTGCCGTGCTCCTGCCTCATTCTGATTGCCTCTTTCCTGCTCTCAATTCAGAACACTCAGGTTGATGGGAGCAAAACTCTGGCCTCTTCTCTCATAGCTCTTGATCCAAGGGGGGATACAGGCCCAAAGGAGGGGCAGTTCTCTGCTCTCTTACCAGCCATAGGGCCACATAAATAAAGGTTAGTGCCAAGGAAGGATGTGATAGCTTTGCTCTGTTCTGGACTGGCCCAAACCCACCTGGCAGACTATATGTTTGGTTCTGGGTCTCACACTGACTGGGCTGAGAAGGAGGCTGGAACCCAAGTTCTCCTGGAGAGAGTCGAAGGAACTGTTTCACTTGGAGAAGAGGAGACTCGGGAGGACGTGGTCTCTGACTTCCCATCTCAGAAGAGTTGTCGTGGTACAAAGAAGCACGTCCTGCTTGGCCTCAGAGGGACTTTGTAGTTAGAAGATACTAGGTTCAAACCTCGCTCCTTTATTTATTACCGGTGTGACCTTGAGCTAGGGCCTTCAAATCTTTGAGCCTCATTTTTCTCATCTGTAATATGGGGCTAATTCATACCAGCCCTGTGAGGTCATTATTAATGAAAAGTCTGTACAGTACCTAGACCTGGCACATCAGAGTTACTCAGTTAAGATTTCTCCTTCCAAAGAAGGAACAGACTGCCTTAGGAGGAAGTGAGCTCTTGCTTCTAGGAAATGTCTGGCGCAATACAGGCAGACCCCTGGGGGATATGCTGTGGAGGCTAACACCAGCTGATGGGCGGAGTTGGACCAGGTGACTTCTGAGGTCTATTTCAGCCCAGAGTTTAGGCCTGCGAACAGAGCCTTCTCCCTGAACAGCAGCATTGGATGGGGAGCGCTAGGGAAGGAGGTTGGGCCTGACAGCCACACATGGAGAGGGGGCGGGGGGCTGCTAGAGCCAGTGCCTCGCCTTCTGCCCGTACCCGCCGGGGCCCTGCTCTTCCTCCACTCCGGCTGGCAGCTGTTTCTGCCTCACCGCCTTCCTCTCTCATCCCACCTGTCACAGCTTTCCTGCCAAGCAGGACTCCCAGGCTAAAGCTGGAGATGAGGGGTGCTGAGAGCAGGGAGCTCAGGAGCACTGGGAAAAGGGCAGGACCCCCAAGTTAGCCAGTGATCCCTACTGTCATCCAGTCTGGCAGGCAGGGAGCAGTGCCCCACAAGCAGCCTCCCTAACCCAGGGCTCTTGGGACCAGAGAGGGTGCCCTGGTCCCTGTCGGGGGCTGGAGGACAGAAGAGGCAGTCAGTAAGCGGCCTCCTGGGAACCGCGGCAAAGCCTGCCCTGGGGAGGAGCCTCCAGAGCCACAAAAGTTCGTCTCCTACTCGCCAAGGAGTGCGAGCATGGGTTCTGGGAAGGGGCAGGAACTGGGAATCTTGGAGCAGGGACGGAGAGGAGGCACTGTTTATGTCCAGGACAAGGAAACAGCAAATTTTGACTGGGAGTGGGAAAGCGGCTTCCTGCTGCCCACACCTCGCCAGACCTCTCAGCCCCATCCTGACCCAGCCCCATCACAACCCCTATGTTCCTCCCACATTTTAGCCCACACCCGATCCCCATTCACATACAAGGACCCCACAACCTTCCCAGTCTTCTAGTTATCACCCTGGACCCTTCCCAAACCACACCCACACCTCACTCTCCAATCCTTGTCCCTACACCTATACTCCTCCAGCCCCTGCTCCTCTCAGCAGTTACCTCCACCCCTACCACCCCAACCCTTTACCCCCCACCTTGCCCCCTCTTTCAGTCGCTCCCGTCCCACTCCACTCCCCCAACCTGCCATCTCCCCCCTCCCCCCTCCCAACCTTTACCCTAGACCCCGCCCCCTTTTCTGGCCTCTATGCCCCTCACCC